AATATTAGCAACACCTGATAGCACAGGTTGACGATTTGTGACGCATCATCAGATGGCTGTGACGTCTTTCTTCTCTTAGAAGGTCAAATCAGTGAAAATAACATGTGGCGGACGCAGCGTAGAAACTCTCTGGATTACGCGTTATGTGTTCAGCGCCAAACACCCGGCTGGTCACTGTTTGTTTTGCCTTCTTTTAGAGAACGAAACCACCTCAGGAACCGTAACAGTTGTGTTACAGTTTAAAACCCTGCTTTAGTTCAAATAAAATAAAAATAAAACACTCAGTGCGCTACACGACCAACAAGAATAATCCCTTAGCCTATACGAAATGCAACAGCTTTTACTTCTGCATCATTGTTCGTTAAAATGAAAAAACATATGCATACAAAATTAAATAATAAAAACATAAACCTTAAAAATATTGACTCACAGTATTCAACTCATATTTAAAACACAGTAGCCGCGTAAAGAACATAAAAGCGCGATTCTTACGTCTTCATCCTCGCAGGCGTTTCTCTTGCGGTACTGAGCCGGGGGTCGGGATGAGGGGTGATGAGGACTCTTCCCAGTCTTATTCTCCTCTTCGGGAACATGTCCACCCAGGAGACGACTGGCTTCAGGTGGATGGGGGAAAGATTTGTTGGTATTAATCTTCCCCGTGAATCTCTGGTAAAGCGAAGCCATGAGTCTGGTAAAACCACTAAAGCATCTCAAAGCGCGGAATCTCTCCTTAGCTGCTCTCCTCGGATGTGCTTTATTTTAATGTCCCTCTCCCGCTCTTCTTCTTGAATAGCCCAGAGCCTGATGTCCTCCGAATAAAGGCAGGAAGACGAAGCCTTTAATTGAAGTGAATCTGTAATGCGCTCCGTTGGAGTGATTTCTCCGTTTTATGGCTTTGACTGGAGCCCGGGCGGCACTAGAGAAAGTCTGCTCTGCATTCAAAGCACGTTGTTTCCTCTATAGCCCGCCTGCAGAAAAGCGTCTACACAGCAGCCTGTATTAAACTGCACTCTGTCACCGGATTTAACAAACAGAGTTTACAACATCTCACTGCGTTTCAGAGAATGAGGCGAGCGATAGAAAGACAGCAGCGTGAGCTTTACGCAGAGCAGTGTGTGTGTGTGAGTGTGTGTGTGTGGATGAGACGCGTTCTGCATGAGAAGTGACCACTGACAGGATATTTATCTGAAGAACACAGACACCTCTCAAATCCCACATTCACAAAAAAAAGAGCAATTACACCGACCGAAACTTTAGACTATGTATCATCCCGTTAACTGACGGATTTTTACAAATGTTAATTATTCAGCAATAACCTTCCTCTTTTACTTCTAAACAATGCTGGAAAGGTCATATGCGCAGTACTGGAGTGCCACACGGTGGTAAAATGAAATACAACAGCTCAGACTGCGTTCAACGACACGTAGTTAGTCCATTAAAGCAGCACTATGTAACTTTTTCTGTGTTCAAAATTTGCAAAATATATATAATGAGCGAGTACATCATGAATTCATCTTCCAAACCGCGTTTTTGTCTTATTCCGAATCACTACAGTACACTTATAATAAGTACTTATATTTGGACTATTGTAGCCTGGTCGGGTCGTCACCGCTGCGGAGTAACACATACCTGCGTGAATCGCCATAGACGTAAATTTAGAGAAGTTGCTCCGGTTGGAATGTTCTTCCGCGGGATGGGTGCAGTTCTGTTTATCAACCGCTAGAGCGCCAAAAGTTACATAGTGCTGCTTTAATGCTTTACATTAAACCACTGTTACGACCCCGTTTTGTAATTAATCTAGGGGAATTGAGGAATACGTAACAATTGGGGGGCTCGTCCGGGATCGTAACACCACCAAAAACGTTATATTCATTAAAAATCGATCGGAAATCGCGCAATTGTTCGGGAATGTAATATTTATATTTAACATTAAATATAATATTTAACGTAGTTATAGTATTTAAACAGATTAATATAGCCTACAGGGTTAGACTATAGTAGCTATAGCTACTCTTAATGAAAAACGAGAATTTAAATCTGAGAGGACAGAAGAGTGTAACACATCTGAGATCTTTTCAAATATTTAACTGAAAAAATTTCAGTTTAAGCAATATGTCAGTTTAGGCATTTCATGTAGCCTACACTCTAAAAAATGCTGGGTTGTTTCAACCCAACTTTGGTTCAAATATGGACTAACCCAACCCAGACAGCAACATAGTGTTGGCCCAGATCCGGCCCACATCTGGCCCATGTGAAATCCATGCGGGCCAGATGTGGGCCGGATCTAGGCCGAAACTGTCTGCTGTCTGGGAACTGTTGGGTTAAATTTTTTTATTAAATTTTTAACCCAACAACTGGGTTAGTCCATATTTTTTAGAGTGTACAAACCACAAACTGTGTCAGTCCTGAGATTTTGAATATTAATATTTAGGTCATTGTTGTTATGCTGTACCTTTAGAGCTCAGTAACTTGCATTAATATGACTGTGTTGGGATGCATTTCTATAAAAGGATGGAGATTAAGAGCTAAAGTTAGCCACTTCAGTGTGCAATTGATAGTTACAGAAGCTTACATGAAGGTGTCAAGGGATTTTAGTAAATTTAACCAACATTTTTAATCAAATTTTGATATCCATATCAATGTCTGTAATGGGGTATATGTTGAACATCACCTGACCAAACCGGAAAACAGGTCTCGTCGCATCTGCTTACTGGAGAAAGTGTTAACAGCAGTATGAACTGATGGTGATATCTATGGACTTTTAAGGTAATCAGCTAACCTAGCTAGTTGTTTATATTGTTGCCGTTTTATTCCGTAATATCTGAATGTTAGTGTGAAGAAGAAAAAAAAAATAGGCATATTGAGTAAAACAGCTCCATATTTAAAGCACATAAAAGAACTAGAAGCGACATGACCTGTTTTACAAATATGTAAGTTTGTTGCGCATAACCCCCATTGTATCTAACAAGATTGTTTTAAAGTTTCAAACCAACAATACCACAAAACATCAGAGAATTCATTAAAGGGATAGTTCACCCAAAAATGAAAATTTGATGTTTATCTGCTTACCCCCAGGGCATCCAAGATGTAGGTGACTTTGTTTCTTCAGTAGAACACGTATGATGATTTTTAACTTTAACCGTTGCAGTTAAGACAAGAGACAAGTCAAGAGCCGCAGGGTTTAATTTGGATTTGTCTGTGAATGTTTTTTTTTACTCTCATAGATTTTGTTACCATTGCCATGCATTACACGACTGATAGACTGCAACGGCTGGAGTTAAAAATCATAATTTGTGTTCTACTGAAGAAACAAAGTCACCTACATCTTGGATGCCCTGGGGGTAAGCAGATAAACATCAAATTTTCATTTTTGGGTGAACTATCCCTTTAAATCCATTGCTAAAATTCGATAATGTCATTAAAGCTTTTGTTAATTATTATAAAAGAATAAAAATATGTAAACTGGTATTGAGGACAGAGATGAAAACAATATTTCAAAGAAAACTTGTTTAGTTTGAGAGAGCAGAAACCTGCTCAAAACAATGTAGTGAGATTATTTAAAATTCATCCCATATGTTCACTTAAGTTTAATATTTTATTCAATGTATTAATGCATACATGATGGGGTCTTGTACTGCATAACAGGAATGACCCCTATTATTATTTTATCAGGACCATCAAAACGTCTCAGGTTACTTATGTAACCATGGTTCCCTGAGTA